TCTTTGACAACCCCCTCTCCTCTCCCGCGACCAACATCCCTTAAGGAACAACAGCCCAATGAAGCCCCCTTCCCTCGCCCTAACCCTCAATACTATTACATGTATATTCATTCGTAATCTATCACATGTAAGCTATTAAAATATCCAAAAAATGAAGGCCTGACATTTACCCTGTTGTCACGTTTCAAATGCATTTCCGCCGTTTTTTTAATGGCACGACTCATTCACAAGGGTTAATAGCACTAGTGTGTGAACAAAATACTCTGCACAGGGGGTCTTGATCCGTAATACATGCCTCTCGGTTGCTACTAACAAGGTGGGTGTAAAATGACGCATTTTCCAGCACCAAATTATGTTCAAAAGATATCTAAAATTGAAGATCTATTAATCATTTGCATCATCTTCTCGCTGTCAAAGCCCTATTATGTAGTAAAATTGTCTTCAAGTATTGAAACTACGTCTTAAAACGCCATTTCGTTTAACTTAAACACTGGCTTTAAGCTATCATTAAATATAATCACAATTGGAAGAATATGCAACGAAATTGTCCATGAATTTGAAATTGAAAAGCAGCATGCAAATTGTGTTTACACTGTCCTGTAATATGCAATTTCTCTTTCTAACTGTTGATAATTGTGAAAATGATGATGAAAATAGCCTCTTTATAATGATGACTGTTTGAAATCCTAGCGAAGTAATCCATAAACTCATTATTATGGCAGTTTACTGATGCAGGTAAATTGGATGTTGTTATTTTGTTTCCTGAGTGACTGTTAAATGATTCACTCGGGGCTTATCTAGAAAATGCCTGAGAGGGGGCCAAAAATCAGAGATGTCTCTCCGAGACGAGGCCCAAAGGCTCGTTGAGGCCGGGTCTGGGGGCTGCCAGAGATCCCAAGATATCAACGGATTTCAGAAGGCCTAGGAGGAATTTTGAGCATTCAGATGGCTATTTTTCACTTCAAAAAAAGACCTTTCACAGGCCAGCGATGATGGCATGGCCCAGTCGCTCACCCCTAAGTACGCCATTGGTTTCACTGTACAGTCACGTCGGTCACGTCCCGTCCGATTTAAATCTTCTCTGGTCGAACTCGTCCTTGATTGAACTAATGAAGTTTTGTGAAAAATGTAAAAATAACTTATTTGCGTGCCATGTTGTCACTTAGTGTAGCGGATTAAAAAGTCATGACCTTTAAATCGTTTAAGGTCAACTCTGGTCTTAATCCCATAGTATATAACAGTCAAATTTTGACTCATTTTCATATTTGAAATACATGTAATGACATATCAAGCGCACGGTTTCACAAGTCAAGAGACTATACAAGGTTTGACGTGTCATAAGAACTGTACAAGGTTTGACGTCAAGAGAATTGCCAAGAGAATTACCAGGGTTTGACGTCAAGAGGGCTCCATGAGGTTTGACTTGTCAAAAGAACTGTACAAGGTTTGACGTGTCAAAAGAACTGTACAAGGTTTGACGTGTCAAAAGAACTGTACAAGGTTTGCGTGTCAAAAGAACTGTACAAGGTTTGACGTGTCAAAAGAACTGTACAAAGTTTGACGTGTCAAGGCAATTGACCAAGGTTTGACATGTCAAGAGAAATTGAAAGGTGTCATATCACTGGAAGACAAATAGTTGAAAACGACTTGAGAATGTAGAATATAAAAAAAACTTCATTAAGTTGTGCAGTTGTCATGCTGAAATATCATTCGGAAAGACATTTAAAAGTGACTCATACCTGGTAAAAAACATTTTTCAGATAAAGGCTAATTGTTAAATATGGCAAAAGACTTGTTTAAACTGATAAAGTATTGATGGAACGAAATGCAGTGAGACATTTGCTGGAATTATGGCGAGGAAGAAGGGTGGAAATAGATGAGTGGGTGAATGAATGAATGAATGAATGAATGAATGAATGAATGAATTGATGGACGAATGAATGAATAGATGAATGAATAAATGAATGGTTGTTATAATAATGTTAATACCACGATAAAGCATGATTCATAGAGCATGTAACAACAGTTTTTATCAGACCACGGTTTAATTCCAACACATGTTCTCTGTGTAAATCACTTGTTGCTTCTATCGATCGCTTCATTCATTCATTCATTCATTCATTCATTCATTCATTTGTTTCCCGATTGTATTAGAGGCTCAATTACCATACGAACTGGTTGGACCACGCCCACAGCTCCCATCCCACTAAAATCCACGGGCCCAATTCATGTAGTTGAGACACTAGACTTCCTGCTGCTTGGCAATAAGAAAGAAATTGCTCGTGGCATGGAATGTTTCCTCATTATACACTGCATAGGTGGGCTTCATTTCATTTGGGGCATAGGAACCATAAGGGAAGGAGAATGTTTAGGTACATCTTACAGCACAAGCTGATACGAGTTGGCCTTTGGCAAGTCTAATCTTAGCTAATACCGATCTTGAATGAAACTTTGGTTTTGATGCCAAGTTATGGTACACTGTTATTTACCTCATCTATATGTCAGCTCTCGAGGGGATTTTATATCGGCTCCTGACCTACTTGTTTCATCGTAATATTAGTGTACCTTAAAGAGAAGGGGTGTACAAGGTAGGAAAAACAAAATCTTGAAATAGTTTTTGCGTGCATAAGAAACATGTCGAAACGTTGCATAAAACTATTTATCTTATGTCGATGTAGATATTTTTGTCACGAGCATTCGATTTTGGTTTTTGAGTTAAAGAGCAGGACTAACGTATAGAATACGTTGTTCCCTATTGAAACATAATAACTGCCTTCTATTTACTATCATCGTTGTACTTTTTCTGTTATGATTGCATAAGTCGAACTTATGAAAGTGATTAAATTCATAAAACACATCATTAACGATAATTACGTGATTCGAACCCAATGCACTGCGAACCCATTTGATAAACTTGATTGACTTGAATAGAAAATAGCAATTATTGCTTAGCACGATCGATAAGTATGTAATTCAAAGTTTGCAGTAATTAACGTCTCCCAGTAAAAAATAACTTAACTTTACAAGTAGTTCAGTTCTAAACTTTGACATTTCCATTCAATAAACCGATTTATTTTCCTAAATGTGATATAAAAAATGGTATAGAAGTTTCCACTAGATTTGAAACGTGATTAACTGTTCTAGATATTAAAGTTGACATGCTCATATAAAAATCAATACCAAATATCAAACGTTAGAAAAACGTTGTTGCTTTAAAAGGGACATCTTCACTATCTATTAGACCAGTCGTACCTTAGTCTTAGAAAAGGAATTGTTTATCTAAACTAATCAGTAATAGTGTTCACAGTTCACCGTCGAAATTTAATCTTTCAAATACTTGTGTGTCCAAAATTATCTGCGTTTGAAAGTTAGAAAGACGACTCGTCTTTTCTTGAGACTCCATTTTAAATTTCGGGACTTTGGGATGGACTTGTGACTGTTCAAAATATTTGAAATGCAATATTTGTGACCGGAAGTGTAGTACTGGTTTTGTGATTTGAATAAAGCTTTTGACACCATATATCATTTCCAAATCGTTGCTTATAGGATTCAATATAGAAGCTTGGCTTGAAACTCTATGTTTCAGGTATATTCCAAAATAAAGCCGTCATGCAACAGAGTTGAGAGCGTGTTAATGTATGGAAGCTTGAGGAGGTCATAATTCGTATTTATTAAATATGGTGGTTAATGGAGGCCATTAATTTTTATGACGCTATTTTGCTTAATCGGATGAAACAGTTAATGGTGTCTAGGCGAGAGAAACGACTGAGTCAGTTCAATTGATTAAGAATGTCTTATTCTGAGGTTCTGATCTCGAATGATGAACTATAATATATAGGAAAGGAATAAGACTGAATCTGATTTAGAAAAAGAATTCGATATTCCATTTATTTTCCCAAAAGCAAAGACATTAAGTTCCAGTGATTTTGATAAAAGACTTGCTAACTTACAGAAGTAATCTATCAAATTTTCAATTTAGTTCGCTTCAAGAGGTTCTGATACTGGAACATAAAAGAAAGGAGACAATTTTTGTGTCTTATTTCACAAGAGCTACAAGAACAACTTCCCGTAGGATTCTCACCGAGTCTTACCGATTTCCACTTGAATCATAGTCTCGAATATCAAGCCGATAATCAATGGGAATGAGGCCATAGAGAGCCCAATGATCGAGTCTAATTGAAACTGTTAAAAAATAGAAGGTAATTTTGGTGAAGACTCGTTTTGATTGACAGGTAATTCAGTTTGATCAAATCATCAGCTTCCTTCGTCTACTTTTGATTTGTTTTTGTCTACTTTCGATTTACATTTTCTTACAGTATTATTGATTTACATGAGCAATGAGCTAGATTATTTCGTTCTTGATTGACAGAGAGGAGAAATTCATTATTTTTCTCCCATTGAAACTGTGTTTCGATCAACCCTTGCCAATCTACATAATTTCAGGTGGCTCATCATCGAGAGAGCCTTTCTGTCAAATACACCCCCACCCCCCTCCTCCATTTCCGCCCATCTTGTTTACAAAGATGAATCAGAGAAGTGGCGTAATTTCTCTATACTGGTATAGATCATATTTTTATTGCCAGCTAATTCAATTACGAACGCCTGTGATCTTTATCGCACACAATAAATCGACGGTTTCCTTAGAAGAGAATTAATCAGGATAAAATTACATACGCCTGTGACAGAAACCAGATCGACAATTTACTCCGTACATTCCTTCAAATTACAGCAAATTGCTTTGAAAATTGCGAATCATTTGGGATCAAAATAGAACAAAGAATTCAATTTTGATATTGCTGGATAACACACGTCGTCAGATCCAATATGGCGTCTGGCGGGAAAGGAATTCATTCAGACCTTTTTAAGCAGAAATATTGTTTGAATCATTATAAGGCGCCATGTTTTCATTGAATGAAAATTCAAGGAGTTTTTTTTTTATCTTTTCAGACTCTGAAGGAAATTAAATTGGAAAAACTTCAACCAATGGGCAACCAACAAAGATGAAATTGCGGGAATTTGTAGCAAACTCGCTACCTCGTGTTCGGGGCCGAAAGAAGAAAAGCCAGTCGCAGAAACAACCTTCAAAAGAACGTAACGATAGCAACCAAACAAAATGTCAAATTTCTCAAAAACAGTGTGCGAGTGTGATCTATGCTGAACCAAATCACAGATCACGAGATCTGAGAGGTACACCTGACGTGCGACCACGAAACCGACATACGATCAGCGACATCGGCAGTGATACGACCCAGTATGACAGTTGCAACGAATACCAAACATCATATCTGAACACGTCATTGGATGAAACCAAATACGCCTCAAAAGATGGCGGTGGGTTTCTGACCGAGCAGGAGAAAACCTCGCTCTTGATTTATTCTTCCGATTGCGAGCCTCATCCAATCACTGGTCGTAAATCTCGTTCCAGAATCAGAACTAATCCGTGGTTGCCGTCACCATCAACGTCGTATACGGATCCGTGTGCATTCCCACCTGGTGTTACAGTTCTCAAACACGCGTCTTCTGAAATTGACGAGATTCTTGAAGGACGTTTCTATGGTGAAAAAGATGTGTTTATGGAAACGGATTTATCGCCGACGACTCCCGGTTCGACGGATAGCGGGTTCAAATCGTCCATTTCCTCCGACATTAACGTGAAACATAGTCCGCCGCACGTGAATACATTCTACGAACCAAAACCGAAAACTTTGACAAAACCTGAAAAACCAGTGCGCACGAAAAAGAAAAGTTCGAAAATTCTGAAAACGTCGGAATCGTTTGACATTAGCCGAAATTTCGAGTCTTTGAAGGAACGGAAGTTGTGTATTCGATCTCAGACTACTGTGAACATAGACTGTGTTTCAGATTGCCATGACAACGGTTACCTAGATAAAACGAAATGGCCGAATCGACATGACTTGTCTCTCGCCTCTCCGCCAATAAACAGTGCTAAAGAAATAGGTTGGGGTCCTTCCCAAAAATTGGATTCTCTTCAAGAGTCCCGGAACAATGATAATTTCGAATTTGAACTTTGTGTATCAGACGATCTTAATTATGTTGCCAAGCAACAAGAAATGGGAATTCCTCATATGGACGTTACTAAGGAAGTAGCTGTTCAAACTGACTTTGAAGATAATGACGATTCTGATTGGATGACAGCTAGTTCCTTTGACGACACAACCGAAGTGTCCAATCGCAGTCCGAGGAAGTTATCTCTTACCAGTGACTGTATGCAAGAATCTACCGACACTGGATATTCAAGTCTAACTCGTGACGGACTACTGGAGTTAGACGAGGACTTCCAGTTCTATCATAATAAGGAGAATATTAACGGCACCTTGAGTGGGTGGTTGAATAACAAAGAACATTTCGCAGTGTCAACTAGCATGGGTCAGTCCTGGTGTGAAGGGTCAATAGGGTCAATAGGTCATCAGGGCATGACCCTCAACCACATGTGCCAATCATGGTATGAAGGTTCCAAAATGGAACACATAGAAATTCCATTTAGTATGACATCATCGATGTACATTCCCGAAGACGAGGTTAAAAGTTTCAAAGACCCGTTGGCAGAATCGGTAGCTCGTGGCAGTTCTCGAATTGCCTCGAAAAACGAATCAAACCGACAATACGTTCCAGTTTTGGAATACGGTCCCGTTATTCGTAAACCAGGGTCGGAGAAGAAGAAATCTACGCACGATCAGTTCCGGAAACGATCCGATTCTTCATCAAGCGAGTCTTACGTGAGTCCTCTCAACTCACCATGTTGGGAAACAAAGAAAATCTTAGGAGATTCTGCATCCAATGTAGAAAACACGTCTCCTCTTGCGACGTCCACTCCAACAGACGACAAGAGCAAGACTGACATCACTCACTACAGAAATAAGGCCGATATTTTGTCAGCTAAGTCGCAAAACTCTCCTATGAGTCGAGCTGGTCGACCAAGAAGCAAGAAAGCAGAAAACCGTAAACCACGGGACAATTTAGATGTAATTCGAGACTACTTGGGCTACGCCTCCTTTGAAGATTTTTACTTCGCTAAGAAGTGTCCGCCATTAAGTACCGGTAGGACGCTGAATCAGATTAAAAGTAGCTTGGAGGAGAAGGTCGACCAGCTTCGACAAGAGAAACTGATAGTGGAACAAAAAATCCAAGAAGCGCAAGAGGAAGAACGGATCAAGAAACACGAGAAGTTGAAATTTCAGAAACAGCTTCACTACCATCGTAAGCAACTGCTGATTCAGACGCTACACGACCTTAAGGAGAAGCTTGAGAATCAAAGCGATCGTCTTCAGAAATCCTACAGCACAATCTTGAATCTTCAGTCAAAATTCTCTCATCGACAGTCGTCTTTTACATTGATGAGGGCAGGCCCGATGTAATCTCTTGAATCAGTCTGCACAAGGTGAACGAACGGAGGGGTGGGGGGAGGGGTTTGGAGTTTGGAGATGGGGTGGACAGGGCTTAATTTAAAAAAGATTATGAAAACCTGTCGAAACTAGCCTAAAACCTTCGCGACGACAGCATTTGCAATTTGAGTTTAAGTTTCGCCGTTTATAGATTTCATATAATAAGAAAAAACTTATTAAAAATAAAGGTCCAAATGAAAACTTCAAAAGAAACCAACGTCCACGAAATAAAAATGGCAATGTCTTTGAGGCCTCATTATAAGAAAGTCCCTTTTTGGTCACTAATTTTTTTATGATTATCGTATATTATGGGCATTTGTATTTGAAATTAAATTGGAGTGTTTTTTTGTATTCTGACAAGGGCGATAATTCTTGTTGTTCTAGGATTATTTTCTTGAATTGTGATAAAGATGTACTATTTTAATGAAATTGTTGTAGAATTTAGTAATTACGTATGATATCTATATTTAAGTACGTTCTGTCAGTATTTATTGATGTTAATGGTTACGTTTTAATCTAATGCTTCGTTATTGGTTACAATTTATATCTAATACGTAACTAGTTGTAAATATTTATCGTAGTCATTGTTACAGTTTAGTAGTTTTAGCGTAACTGAAGTTGTATATTTATGCACGTACATATGTACGTGCTTTTCGTGAAATTGTGCCAAGTTGTAAAAATCAAAATGTTGTAGCATAACTGGATGTTTATAGTGTACATTTTCTTTCTATTTATTCATTTTTCATTTTCATTCATTTTTTTATAATTTGGGTCTCGGTTCATCTTTTTCGTTGTTATTTATAAAATTTCGTTAAATTTTCGTTTCGTTTTTCGTTTACATTCTTGCACCCTGAGAAATTTTAGTTGATGAACCGAGCCATGAATTATTTCATTTTCGTTTATTTCGGTTTTTGGCACTCTTGGGCCTCCATAGTTTAATTCATTTGATTTCATTATTTAAGATATATATACAGCATACGACAATTGAAGAATTTCATGAACAATTTGAATCTTTTACCGAAATTTTGTTTATATTTTACCCTCTTAATTCGCTTGAAATCTCAACAATTTTTAAAACAACCGGTATAAAACTATAATTTTATTTTGGACTTTAAAATCGTGGTTTTATTAACAAGAATAATATCGGGGCCCTATATTCACAAACACCAAATCCAGAGTTTAATTTCAATTAACTTTTTAAAGAATAATTTCTCACCAGCTCACCATTGAAATTGGATTTAGAAACGTCCCACAACATTTTTATAACATGAAATGTTTAATATTCTTAAGCAATTTAGACTTTTTTATTTTAATTGAAACAATCAGCAACTTTTGAACTTGCTTATGATGCAAGGTGCAACTTTTTTACATGAATAATAATGAAACTGGCTGCAACTTTTGGTTTGTAATTTTTTTTCTCGTAAATCAGGTATTTTCTAACAGTATTATAAATCAAACCACTCGGTCTCTTTTTCTCATATTTTATTTGTTAATTTATTTCTGTATATTTTATCATTTTTGAATAATTATGCGAAATATTCGAATATTTTTGCCCGTTGAGTCACACGTAGCGGATATTGTTAGATTTTTGTCCTATGCCTTGCTTTGATTCTGAACCTTTTAAAATTCAAACTTTGCCATACCGTACACGGACGTGAAAGGTGGGGTGTACCTGCCCAAAGGTAACAACACAAAACATAATATTTTCAAAATGAAGTGGAGATTCGAACTCGAAGTTTCATTAGAGTACCATAAGTGTGCATATTTGCCAACTAAACCATAATCAACATAAAACATAGCATTTGCAATTTCAGGTAGAAGTTCGAACCCGAAGAGTCACATAAGTGTGCTAAACTAAACTTAGGCTTATACCTCTAAACACTCTGATCTGAGGACGAGGCATCAGTCAAATCTCTGCATATGCTTAGAGTATACATTTGTTTTTTGATATTTATATCTAATATATGTAAATGAGCTAATTAATATTCATTTTTATGTAAATTAGTTGATGAATATTCATGTATTGTGATAACGTATTGTACTTGACATTACGATTTTTAACATATAGTCCGAAATGTTCCAGTGACAAACTTTATTTGTAGCTAAATATTTCGGATTTAAAGTAAAAACTTGCGATTAATAAATACGACCAAATTCGACAAAATGTTAAATAAATTCATTGACAGTACACACAATAAAATCATGTATTTGGCGGATTTGGTTCTATAAAATCGTAAACTTTGTCTATATATTTCATTTAAAACTTTTTCTAGTCAGAATCGTACTCGCTTTTTACCATTTCATAGATCTGTAGCTATATATAATTATCGAATCGTCATTTCCTTTTCAAAACATCATTTATATCATCATTATGTATTCTTTATGCTGCATGACTAAGTGAGCTTTCAGCTTGATGCCCAGTTTACAAATTGTTGCCTTTTTAGGGCAACTGTATTACCCAAAGTTACAGCTTTATACAACAACAATCATTAGTTTTAAGCAATGTTTCGACGGGCTTCCCCTGTAGTCCTCGAGGACATCGACGGGAGAACATCATCGAAACGTTACCTAAAAGTTTAACCAGTGATTGTTGTTCCATAAAGCTGTGTTTTAATATTGTACTCACATAATTTGTTATATGTCATTTTAAGACTGATTTATACGTCGATAATCGTAAAATATACACCCACACAGTAGTTGTGCTCAATTTGGCAATATATAATGGTAACATATAATATAACATACGCCCACATAGCATGAGATATAAAAAACAAAAACTACCAACCTTTACATAGGCGTCCATGTATGTGAATCTCTCCAATAAGGCTTCATTTCTCCATCATTCAATCTTATTTCTATCTTACTGTCATTCATTCTGTCTATCATTTTCCGCCATTTTCTGCTAAAAAATAAATTATTAGTTAATTAATGATTGTGTTTTTCTTCTGCCAATAGGCCATTCTGTACATCCCCACCCCTGATCTTAAAGTTCGTAGAACTAATTAAGGACTGGGGCCTATTACCCTGCGCCAAAACCTTTCGACAGGTCCAGAGCTGGCCTATGGCCCTGCACCAAAACTCAATCATACGATGGAAGGGTCCAGTAGACAGAGGCCACATTGACAAAGGGGCTGGAGGGAGGGGGCTGCCTAACCACATTAAAATGCAAATTTTATACGAGATTGAATCAAACATCTTTCTATAGATAGCCTTTTTTTGACTGAAAATCAATCTACTACCATGGTCAAAGGGAAGTAACTCTTGCCAAGCTACATTAATTTCCAGACTAAAATAATTTCTTTGCGGACCTTTCCTGGGCGCAAAAGTTTATTGGCCAACATTAAATGTGTTTGATAGCAAACGAGCTTACTGTATTGTCTATTTCGAGGCCGAGGATATATTAAAAGATTGCAAAATGTTCCCCCTCCTGATCAATGGCGAAGAATGTCTGAGCGCCATTAAGGTGCAGGTGTTTTTTTTTTTTTGTTTTATTTTGCATAAAAAAATGCTCTGTGAACACCGTAAACGACAATGTTTATAGTGGCAAAATGTGGAAACATATTAGGAACCTACTCAATGTCTGAAATACTTGGCACTGGTTGAGGGTTGCTGGTTGTAGGGAATTTTAATTTGGCCTAAATTCAGTTTTCCATCTTCTGCAATAATCAGGTGCATACGACATTTTTTCTACCAAGGGGAGGTAACTCGCACCGTTAAATTTATCAGGGGCAGATAACTCTACAAGCTAAAAAATATTGACAAATCGCATTGAATGACGAAAAATGTCAAAATAAGTTGTTTTTCTAGTATGAAAGGGCTGTCGATGGACAAATCACATGAAAATGACATATTACTGGCTTTTGAGAAGTTTCTGAATTCTTGAAAGCGTGTAATATTCATAGATCTGGCGTTTCAACAGTTTTTCAACGGTGTGTATAATTTGCAAAGCACGCCCACAGGCACGGATTTCTTGGTTTATTAAAGTTATTATAGATAAAAGCTGAAGGAAACTTGTGTTACATGAGCTGCTGATATCACAAACTAATGGAAAAGTAGTGGTAGGTAGCCTTATTGAATATATCAGTTTCCCTGACGGAAAGAAAAAACACGAGAATGGCTGAATGGTGTGCAAAAAAGGTCATTCCATCGATTAATAAATTCACCACTGTTAAAATATTTATCAATACATGTAGGATATACTGAAGGTTCAGTTTTGTATTTTCTTTTTCAGAGATTGTGTAAAAACAAAGCAGAGATAAATTTCATTAATTTAATGGAATAAGACACAAGCCAAGTTACTATAGCAATGGCAAAAGATTCATTGCCGCCATTGAGATGTTTCCAACATTGTGATAGGAACATTAATATACTTTGTCTGGACATGCCTCAATATTGCCCTGTCTGTCACCAAGATACCATGGCAACAGAGAGTCGTATACCACCCTATCCATTGCCTACACCATTTGTCATGGCAACAGCTTGTCGGAACTGTTTAGTTTTGAGACCTACTGATGGAGACTTTATCTGGTAAATTTAATTTTTAATCGTGCCTGAAGCAGATCAAGCTTACTCTTTTTTCGAATCACCTTGAAGGCATACTTTGAACGAGATATTTTTTGACATCATTATTTTTCTTAAAGTTTTTACATCTGAATATTTTGAATTTCAGTGATTATACAAAGACCAGCAATCTCCATATTGGTGTCACAGACAGTCACGGTGAGTGAAGATGGCTATTGCAATCAAGGTATAAGTCGAAGTTTGTAATATCTTGATATTGTGATAATAGGAATAATGTTCAATTCCATGGGACACTTATAGGGGGCACTCGATTGGCGTGTTCTGCACGTTCGAGATCTATGGAATCAACAGAACGTTTAATAAAACAAATGTTAGAGCAGAATTCGGAATGCATTCAAAACGTCGATAAAATAGTAAGCGCTGATAGAATTGATAATGGCGGAGAAGGAAACAGATGAGAAAATTTGGATGTGACGTCTGCTTTCATTCTCTTCGATTGGGGGCAGAATTGAAAGAGACGGAACCCGTTCAGAACTCGAGTGTCGCCATAGATACCTTGATTTAATACAGCAAATTTTCTCATTTATTTTATTTAGGAACAGTGTACGATTTTGATGAAAATGGCCTCCATATTGGATCACCCTGGCAACAATGTATATGTATAGATGTTTTACCAAATAAGGAGATAGAAAGTAGAGACTGGGAACAGATATTGCTACAGTTTGCCTATCCTCAATATTGGAATAAAAACAGGTAAATACAGCGCATTTATGTGAGTTGCTTTGATCAGGTATTTTATTTTGAACTGTTTTTATAGAAAATACAAACGATATACCACAGGTTTCTCAAATGTAAAATATAGTTGCCACTTGCATTCCATATTCATGACCCACCAACTGGTAATAGCTATGGTGATATGGCACCTTTACAGCATAATAATAACAAGAATATTTTGTGTTTTTTAGGTATCAAGAAGAAAGAAATAATTGTTTTGATTTTGTGTTAGGATTTTTACAGACTTTACCCCAGCTTAGACACTTACCGTCTCTTCAAAACAAGAAGTCATTTTGTGAGGAATTTCTGGTGAAACAGACCAATAAGGCAGTGCAATATATTACTCTCTATAGACAAGTTCTACTGCATGGATTTGTGTGTCAAAAATCCAAACTAGAAATTTGCCAGGCCTGCCTGATTGAAGGTCTAAGATGTCTGACAGAATGCATGTAAGAATTTTTAGAAGCAGGGCCTTTGTTTTTTCTCTCATGCAACACGAATTAATATTTACATATTTATTTTTGATATTACAAGACTTATTTACAAATATATATTATTAAATGTATAAAAATGATAAATATCAATAAAAAGTATTCTCAATAATTGGCTGTTTTAATTTTGGTGATCTAGTTTGGTATGAAGGAAGGTTGAAGTTGATATGGCTGGTTAATCCAACATTAATTTAAACTGTAAACCAGGAGCAGCTTTATACCTGAACGTACCAGTCCAAACTTGACCCTCTGTATCTGTGAATTGACCTTCACCTTCCAATCTGAAATTAGAAACATTAGAAATCAAATAAGGCTCATAAGGGGTATCTTAACCCTGTGAAGCTATTACGAACTTCGTCCTAATCTTGACAGCAATAGCCACCTTTATTGCATGACAGAATGCAGCGATTTGTTGCGAGTGTTGCAAAGGTTAATTGAAAAGAAACAATGTACTTACTTATTTTCAACAAATCTACCCTCATAGAAAGAACCATTGGGCCATGTATACTTTCCAAAACCATGAAATTTATTATTACTAAAATCTCCATCATAAGTTGAACCAGAGGCGTGAGATAGACATCCTTGACCGTTCATTTTATCATTCCCCCATTCACCTTGATATCTTATTCCACCAGGTGTCTCATGTGTACCGTTACCATGGCGTTCTAGAGAACCATGCTCGGATAACACATATTCTCCATCTAAAGGAGAAAAGAGAAAACTTTATTGCAGATGTTTAGCATGAGATTATACGTTACATAATTAGTTAAATAACGGAACACTATTGTATGGTATACTAGTCCTTAGTTTTATTGTACACTACGTTTCAACAATCTACATTGTCATCATCAGGTGAAGTGAGGAAATATAATACAAGGTCTCTACCCCTAAATCTCACTAAAGATAAGTGTAATTAGTAGCTTATATAAGCGACCACCTCCTTTAGCTTAACGGGACCAGTGGCCATCTAGTTACCTACCATATTTATCTCCATTGGCAAACAAATAAACTCCTGTTCTTTTTTCTCTTGGTGTGTCACCTTTCTTCTCCTTTTTTCTATCAGCTGAAATTTAAAAATTACTGATCAGAATTGATGGAAAAAATGGAAATGATTCTTGTTATAAAATTACTAGTTTTTGAAGAGAATTATTCAATCAACAGAGCACAAAGGTTTCAATGAAGAAGACAACTTAAAAAAACGTCTTGAAATTTACCTGCAGGCATCTTCAAGTCCTAAATTGTCGAGTTTAGTTCGCAAAAGGTGTAATGATGAAAATCAAAACATTTCTGTGTCGGCCATTTGTAAACAATAACTTGGAGATTGAGATCTCGCGATAGTATGTCATCAGGTCAAATTTTCGTATAGATATTTTCAAAGTGCACTTTATATTAAAAATGTCTCGTTTTTTGTGACACAAATTAAATATTTTCTTACAATAAGCATTAAACATTGAAAAATTAAAGCTGACTGCTTAAAATTGAAGCATTTATTAAATAATATAATTTATACGAAACTGTGGTGTAAAGCTAGGGCGACCTTGCCGGTAGTGGAAAGAGTCAAAATCTGTAGGTTAAAAGTTGTTTTTATCATGTTTCGGACTCCAAGAGTAGCAAGGAACCTCGTCCGACAGGTATCGGCAAGTCGGATAAACAGAGGAGCAGTTCGCTGCATATGTACCAGATTTGTACAGAGAGTTTCGAGCAATCAAAGGTAATGTCATCAACTCCCCACCCCCATCATTTTGATTTTTACATGATCACCCCATTAGGCCTACATATCAAACGATCACCTACTACAAGAAAGAAAGGCTTGAGTTTGGTAGATGATGAGTGTAACAAGCCATTTGATAAGCCTCTGCCTGAGCCTGTGTAATATACTTGTCTGTCGACGTGTTGTCGTTGACCTGTGAGTCTGTTCAAGGATTTTGCATTTACTATGGTTTGGTTAGACTGATGTAAGGAACGGAATAGCACAATGAATGAATAACAAATGGAATATGCCTTAATCTTGTTGCAAGCTTTTGCAAAAATCAATGTTAATGACCCCTGATTATCATGACACTATTTATGCAGTAAGCTTTCCTTACTCTCGTTTTTTGTCCTTCATCTCAACTAGAAACTTTCTATTATCTTTTGTTTTTCAGTTTTCAAATTTTTAACAGTAAACATGGCTCAGCTTTATGGAAGCAACAATCCAGATTCTATAGTTCAGGTAACGCCTCATTCTTTTTCTTGGTATGTAGGCCTACTTGAAATTTCCCAAGTAACCAAATCATCATAAATTGGTATGTCTCGTTTAGCACATATCGGTACTTTATGTTGGATGAGCTTACTTTTAATATTTCCAGAGTTGCCAAACCATTATAAAGTGGTGTTGCCAGCTTTGTCACCTACAATGGAAGCAGGAACCATCATAACGTGGCAGAAGAAAGAAGGTGATGCAGTAGCTGAAGGAGATTTATTGGCTGAGATTGAAACTGATAAAGCTACTATGGGATTTGAATCTACAGAAAATGGTTACATGGCTAAAATCTTTGTCGCTGCTGGTAGTAAAGATGTTCCTATTGGGAAGGTAGGTTCAACTGTTCATATTTAAAAGGAAGTTTTCAAATGAAATGAATGGAGTTTTACGTCCTACTTTTCTGGACCTAATCCAGCTAACAATCAAGACTGGCTACAGAGCTGCTACCAGTTTCATTGATGCAGTTTTTCTTGATTTTTTCATTCAGTTAATCTGTATCATAGTAGAGGAAGAAGATGATGTAGCAGCTTTTAAAGACTATGAACCTCAAGCAGGAGATGATGAGAAACCAGGAGGGGCTCCACCAGGGGTTGATAAACCTGCATCTCCTCCTCCTAAACCTGCTGAAAAACCTGCACCCCCAAAAAAGAAAGCACCCTCACAGCCTCCTCAACGGCAAGCTCCCCAACCATCACAGAAATCATCTGATGGTAAAGTGTTAGCTACACCCAGTGCAAAGAGAATAGCCCATGACAAAGGAGTAGATTTAAGTGTAAGTAAACCTCATTTCTCGAGATCTTAAGAGTCAAGAGTCTTTTGTAACCTTAGCCTTTGCTCAGTCTTTTCTCGTTTCCTTGATTATTGATGGATCTTCTTTCAGATGGTGACAGGCACAGGTCCAGGTGGAGTGGTTCGTGGAGAAGACGTCATGAATTATATCCCGTCAACCCAAACTGGAGGGGCTAGTGATGTGGATTCCACCCCAACTCCAATACATGGTGCAGCTTACTCTGAAATACCCATTACTAACATGAGAAAGGTAGGTTTACATTTGCAGAAAGCAGGTTTCAATTTAGATTAGCAATTAATAACATCAAATTTCACTTTTGGCTAACCAAGTTAAATTTCTACTTGCTTTGGTTAAAAGATTTGAATTTTTTTTTTGCAGACCATAGCCAAGAGACTAACTGAGTCTAAACAGACTATACCACACTACTATCTTACAGTGGAGATCAATGTTGATAAGGCCATTCAGTAAGTCTTAGCCTTAAGATCGTTATTAATCTCACTGGAGCTGTGGTGGCTCAGTGAATTAGACGCTTGCTCGCTCACCTGAAGTTCTAAGGTTAAATCTCAGCGAAGTTGCGAAAATACCTTCCGATTTTTCAAGCCTGTTGCATGTCGGTAGCGTCTAGTCTTTCTGACGGGACAATAAACCTGTGATACAGGCTGTGCACGTTAAAGATCTCTCGAAAGTTGGAAATCTGAAAAGGGTATTGATCATACTATTTATTAATTTTATTACAGGTTACGTAAACAGTTCAATGAAAATCTGTCCAAAGACAATGTCAAACTATCAATGAATGATTTTGTAATTAAAGCCTCAGCCATTGCTTGTCAGAGAATACCTGAAGTAAACTCATCCTGGATGGACAACGTGATTAGAAGGTTTGTATCATTCTCGTTAACCCTTTAAACACTAGCAGCCGGTCTAAACGAGCATTCATTACAAAGTGATATCTTATGCTTGGCGTATATATACATGATGTTTCATTGTATTTAAACTCAGTGCTATTGTTTCATTTATTTTCTGAGGGTAACTCATTCTACATTTGGTCATATTCTTTCTCAAGTGTTTAAGATATTTTATATATATAATAGGTATAATACAGTAGATATTAACATTGCCGTAGCAACAGAAAGTGGTTTATTAACACCTATAGTATTTAGAGCAGAATCCAAGGTAACAAGTGTTTCAGTCTTAAATTAATCCTTTTAAAACAAATTCAGTTTGATTAAGTAAATACATAGATATAAATAGCATACGTTAGAAATATTTTCAGGAATAAATTCTGACATTTTGTTAATGAAAAGTTTGCATATTGCCTCTTTAACACAAGATATTGATGAATATTTTGTTGTATTTGCTAGGGATTAAGTGCGATCAGTCAAGATGTTCAGAGATTAGCTGCTAAAGCGAAAGAGGGTAAACTACAGCCTCAAGAGTTCCAGGTATGTTAAATGATATTGTATTTGGTCAGTAGAAGATGTCAGACATGTGCCCAGTTGTCGCTTTCTCAAAAATATTGATACACCATGAATCGTTCCGTGGAAAACTGCAAATGCTACGATGCACTTGTCACTCTTATCTTATGCTTTTTGAAACAGTATGAAGTTTTTGGGAACAGGCCTCCATATTTTATTACAGATTACCTCAAGACAAGTCTGAATTTATCAAGTCTACAGGATTTTTGTTTCATGGTGTTTCTATTTATGTTTCAGGGGGGGACTTTCACAGTATCTAATCTAGGAATGTTTGGTATCAAACATTTTACAGCTGTTATTAACCCACCACAGGTACCTACTGTTAATTATTTTATTGGGAGAGCTGACCCACATGGAATAAGCTGTTTAAATGGGACCAAAAACTGAGGCATGTCTGCTACAGGCTGTACACGTTAAAGATCCCTCGCCAAGTGAAAATCAAAAAAGAGTTTTGATTGAAATTTGTTGAATACTGCAAATGTTTTTCATAGAATCACGTTCACATGCAAATTAGGCGTTGAAGTGTTTATTTTTTGTTCGTTGTAGGCGTGTATTTTAGCTGTTGGAGGGGCCAATAAAACTTTAGTTGTTGATGAACATTCAAGTGAAGGGTAAGATTACTATATAACATTTGAAATACTAATTTGATTGGTTGAAATAATCAGTATCAAGCGGACAAATTTATTTGCAAAATCTATTCAGATTCAACAATACTAGGAAAGATGTACGCACTATGTTTTAATATTTATCCAATATGGCACAGAATGATAGGATATAAAATTAATTTTTCATTTTATTTTAGATACAGATCTGCTAATATGATGTCCGTGACGTTGAGTTGTGATCATCGCGTTGTAGATGGAGCTGTCGGTGCTCAATGGTTGGCCCAATTCAAAAAATTATTAGAAAACCCCGAAACCATGCTGTTATAACAGTAACAAGTTTTTAGAATTGATTAAAGAAAGGGTGTTGTACAGGAATTTTTGAATTTGTGAATCAATTTGAGAATTGAACAAATTATTTAGAATTGAAAGAATAGGCAAATCTTTTTTTGGGTCTAAGATTAGAACCATTGTCTACCTTCTGATTCGAGATTTTAAGTCCTGATTTCATATTCAAATTAAGTAGGGAATTTCAATGCGCTGGTAATTTTATCTCAATTTTTTGACATCGTGAATCTGTTAGGGAACCATAAAAAATTGTTGTTGAGATGGCCTGTGGTTTATACAATAAGGTTAAAGATATGAGAGCTCAAGTGAAGAGTGCGTGCTCTGTGTTAGATTGTTAATAGTATTATGTGAAATATGAGATTGAATTTAGTAGAATTGTATTTATATATAAATGTAATTAAATATATATCAACAAGTTTCATTGAACAGAGACCCTGTTTCTCAAAATATATTACGTACGGACTTAGTCTTTGCCACTCTTATGATTACAATGGTAATTATTTTGAAGAAACAGGGCCCAAGGGTAGAACATAGATATTTAAAGGTGCTAACCTACATAACATTTACTGGGTAAAAAAGATAGCCCTGTTAGTAAAAAAATCACCAATTTATATTGTCGTATGTGTGGCTTTTTTTCAATGTAAATTTGAGTAAAGATAATTTTCGTATGACTTGGTCCAAATAGTAGTTCGTATATCTCAGAGTTCAGTTAACCCCCTCCTTTACCTTTATGCCCCATTCATCATAGACTAGTTAGTGCTACCTTCTTGTTATTATTCCTGTCCTTAACCAGAACTATCCTGACTAAGCTATCGCTCCAGTTAAGATATTTATGGTAAATGACCACCTGTATTTAAAGTGCTGTTGAACTATACCTTTTAATTTTGTTATTGTTTTTCTTTAGTTATGTTTTGTAGATTACGTTGAGCGAACGCCATTAAAATTGCTAAATGTTGTTGAGAAAGCAAGCCATCAGGAATAGAAAACAAAGATATTATTACACACATATTTGGGAACATTTCTACCAGTTGATCCATGATCAAGCCTGATTTCCCACATAAAAAAGAAAAGAAAGGGTGTCACAAGGGTGGCGCTCGATGGAGAGTTCTTAACAGGTTCCGTCAAATCAAACGATACGGAAGTGGATATCTCACATTGAAATTTTTCCCATCAATTTCTTTTTCCACCATTTTGAATTCTGTCTACGCCTACTATTTGTTTCGGCACACGCGGAGTGAATCCAGATCTTTCAGAACTCATCCATTGAGCAACCAACACCAAGGAGACACTACTGGCCCTACCCAACTAAAAGAAGCTTACAGTATTTGTTAGGTTTATTACTAAAATAATATATTGTACATTATAAACATTTCAATTTCAACATAATAAATATACCTGGATGTGTTTACTTCATTTAGAGTTTTTATCCTAGCTAGACAATAGGGACAAAGGCTGAAATCACATAGCTCTGCTTTCCCAGTCGGGTTTGGTCAATATTAGAAACATCTCCAGCCATTTGATTGGACTGTACATTAGCTAATACAGCCAATGAGAGCAGCTCTTGACAGAAAGTCAATAAATAATTTGGCTGGGCATGTAATCAGGAACTATGATTGGCTGTATTAACTAATGTACAATCCAATTAAATCGCTGGATTCACAAACTTCTGTGACACAAGAAAGGTGGCTAAGTCTTATTGTGTCGTAATTAGTGGTCCCATGGAATGAATGTTCAAAACTAACGGCGGACCATGCTTCTAGGACATCCTAGCACTAAGATCTTTTTGAGAATACAAGGTCAGGTCAGCTGTGAACTATTCTCTGTGTAAACAATAGTATATGAATGTCAGCACTGGACATTTCATTGTCTTGATCTTCCAGTGGTATTTTACTGACTTCAAAATTCTTTCTCACTAGCTGCAATGAAAAAGGGCTAAGCTAAAGGATTGTTCTTCTGATAACATAACCCTGATGGAAACATCAAATTATAAGAACTGCTTGATCTCTCTTGTAATTAACCCTACAAATGTGACTGTCTAGTTCCTCAGTCGTTATAAACACTCAATTTTGTTATAAGCCTATATGTCCTGTACCTGTGCTTTCATGACAATGTTATCGATTCATTGCCATGCTATGAGTTGGATAATTAGATCAGTCTCTCACCTCAAAAAATTGTTTTTCCAGTTCAGGTTTATTGCCTGTATCTCTCTGTTCATAGCAACACAAAATGGTGGTCCGAGGGCCACATAACTCTACCATAGTTCTCACTAGAGGCTCCAGAGACTGAAATAATACATGAAATGGAGTTTTACATCCTACTTTTCTATGGAAAGAAGTGTTGGGTCCTATTTCTCTGATCTTGATAGGGTGCCTGTAGCACACGGGCCTCGGTTTATTGTCCCAATCGAACGACTGGACGCTTTCCCAACAGACCCTCAGACCTATATGGAAAATAATCCAAACCTCTTCATAATAAATGCAATCAGCCAATAAAATCAAATCCCATTCTGTTTTTTTCATCACATCAGAAACTTGACCCCAAATTAAGGTTTCTGCTTTGATCTCTCCAGTTAATAACGCCTTATTTTCTTGTATATTTAAACTTATCAAGGGCAAGAACTCTGGGAGGTCTGTAATTGTTACTTTGGCACTGCAATAGAAAAGAAAAATATTCAGAATTGTTGTTAATTCACATCTAAACTTTTATAGTTTTGTATTGAAAAAGACCCATGTAAACCCTTATGATAAGAGACTTATTACCCAAGACTACCAGCCACAAGGGACACAACTCCTGTACCAGCACCGAGCTCAATGACTGTTTTTCTCGATAAATCTAACTTTTTCTCATCGTTTTGCTTTTCTAGATACTTGGAAAGAACGAGGGCAGCGTCCCACACAACACAACCAACGTCCCCGATTTCTGATTGATGAATTTTCAACACATTCCCGTCATTTTTGTCATATTCGCGAATGAAAGTCTTGTCAATGGGCGCTGACATCTTGGATTACAAAGAATTGTGGGATTTGTTTTGATTCTGCACAATAAAGATGGCGGCAAATTCAGAAAACGGAAAAATGAATTGCAAACAAAAGGAAAAGAAAATGATATCTATAAGTGGCATCGAGATGATAGATTTCTCCATTCCAACATGTAACAGAAAGAATCTTTTTATGACAAATATAGTCAGTGGCATGGACGCCATTGATGTTGAGGTACGATCAAATGATCAGAAATGATAAAAAAAATTAACCAACGGCAACAAGATTGTCAAGAACAACTCACCCCACCCCAGACCTCAGTTCCCTCACCTCTTTTATTTGTTTCCATTTATTTTTTCTGCTGTTCATGCCAATCAACCTTCTATTGAAGCGTCATTATTTCTAATTGTAGCCTAGATCTTTGATTGAAATTGGAAACTATGTATGTCTTTCAGGATCAACTCCACTGTAAATTCTCTCAGTTTGGTTTGTTATATGAGGTGCAGGTGTTCAAGTCCAAGAATCAGGCACAGAAAGAGAATGCTGTTTTAAGCTACTCAGAAAATGCTACTGCTTATTATGCCTTTATTAAATTCTACTCGTCTATAGCAGCCACTAGAGCTCAAAAAAACTTGACTGGAAAATGTTTCATTGGAGAAAAATGCTGCAAGGTTTTATTATTTTCTTTTCATATCATTCATTGTATTGTCCCCATGGGCTGAATGTTAAACAGGACCATGTCCTCTGTATTGGACCTTATTCTGACCCATGTGAAATAAAGAATCTATGTTTGTCCCCATGGGCTGAATGTTTAACAGGACCATGTCACCTTGGTGTATTGGACCTAATTCTGTATCATGTAAAATAAATAGGATCTTACTGTCCAATGACGTAGGTTTATATTGAATACCTGCCATTGTTTTGTAGTTTTATACAGGCTAAAACATAAGCCTAGATAATGATTTTTAATTTTCCAGTATGTCTGAATTATCTATTTCGAAGTGCTAATGATAATTTGTCTTGTCTATCCTAGATCACATATGCCAAGCGCACGAAAGTTCCTGAAGAGCCATTATGTTTAACTGTAAGCCAGTGTGTAGAGTTAGCTAACTATTATCTCGGCTTTAATGGCTGGTCTAATGAAATACAGTTGTTAAAAAGATACACTAGTGATGTGGAGAGCAATACAGAACAAGACAAACAAAATGTGGTAGGTGTCAGCCCAGTGTAAATTAAAATCACAATGAAACAAACCAGATGACAGATTTTCATTCTAAAAAGGGATATGTATGGTAAAGCAAATATTTGGAAAACAGTGGACTATGATTTGTATAGGCCATTGCTTAGAGAGATAGAATCTGTGATGTATATTTGTTACCCTGATCTCTTATCATTTTAACAATTTCTATTATAGATAGAGAATGGTACATCTGTAGATAGGGAAGTTGAAACTGTAAAGTTTGTTTGTATCACCAAGCTCTATATCACTGGTCATTTCCTGTCTAGCCAGGGATCTGGAGTGTGGGAAGAAAAATACTCCAGGAATGGAGATGGTACGTTTTTGACTCAAGAGATAGTTAACTCTTAGTTAGAAATCCTGCCCCATTGATAAGCACAGAGCAAAATATCTCTTAGTACCGTACCCACTTTTACATACAAGTTTTAGATTTACGAGAAAATCGTAAACACCATTTTCTTGGCAGGTATTGAACTCAACAAAACTTATTTTCTTTTTTTATTTTATTATAGGAAAAGGAACAGCGTATGGTAAGGCCAGAAAAATAGCCAAACAACGAGCCTTACAGAATGCCTTGTCTAAATTACTATTAATAGTACTGCCTGATGGTAAAGTCACAGTGGAGGTTAACCCTTTAATACCAGACAATATCCCTTCGGCTCATGATGACCGCGATCTCCCATTTTTAAAGGTATGAATTAAAGTGAAAGAGTCGTTCTAGAGCAGGGCACCATCCGTTCGTACCCTGGTTTCAAGCAAGCCTAAGAAGGGTGCAGGAGGACTCTGGCAGACTGTCTTTGTGAGAGTTCTTAAGGTTCACCTCAATTGCAGTGAATTTTTTAGCCTATCGATTTGATGGTCCCTGCTCAAGAACGACTAATAAGTCTTATACCTTGGCTGCAACTGTCATTCAATAATGAATAAACTGTATTTTCCAGGTGAATGAAATTCATACAGAAGTGGATCTTTCTGACAGTGACCATATTCAAGATGTTTTACACAATTTACAAGATCTAGAGGAGAGCATGATTGGCTGAACATGTCATTACATTGACCAATCAGAGTCTCTGTAACATTGACCGTTCATTGTATCATTGTATCATTGACCAATGAGGGGCTTTGAATCATTGACACAGTTCTATGAAGCAAGCCAACTTCATTTCATTATTTCATCAGCCAGTCACAGTCTTTGTAACATTCATCCATCACCCAATCACAGTCCCTGTCATGTCAGACACATACACGAATCAATATTCCAGCCAATCACATTCTTTGTTATATATTATATAAGATATTTCCATGGATAATTCTTTTGAATTATACTTCCTTACTCTAGCTTTGTAAATATTGTATAAAAGTTTGTATATATGATCAGTAAAGTTTATATATTTTGTATTGACTGGACAAATCTGGCTCTACCTGTCCTTGGACGTGTCGATATTCCATCTGTATATCACTCTGAGCAACGGAAAGGCCCAGATTTGTCTGGCTAATTTTGTACAAAATGCAAGGTGGTAAAGTTTTTATACAGTGATAAAGTATAGTATGTTAATGTTGTATATTTTGTATATGACTAAAGTTTGTATACTTTGATATTTGTGTATATTTTGATAAAGTTTGTATATTGTTCACAATGTTTGTATATACATGTGTATATTGTATTGGTCCAATCATTCCTTATTATTTAATTTGGATTATTTTAAAAGGCTTATTATTCTTCTTAGCCCCACCCCTCTTTTTGTATTCATCAACCACACCCCTTTCCTTGTGACCATATAGAGGTATAAGGGATATATGGTGGTACATGGGAACTAATAGCTATTCGAATTCAGATTTTTGAAGCTCTTGAATTTGACAGAAAAACGAACGTATGTTCAAAACGTTTCGACTGTAGTCCAACCTATCAACCCCTTCACTAAATGAACTTGTCCGGAATTGCACGTGGCTTCCCTTCAATGACAACAGTAAGTGGTTTCTGTATGTTTTCTAACCAAATCACATACCTTTTCAGACTCAGATATTTACGGCTGAAGTTTTTTGAAAATTAATAGTATCGGTAAGAGACTTGCTTGAGGGATCAGACTTTGAAACAGTGTCTTGAAACCGTTCGAAGAAATTTCTAGCTCCCAAAAATGTCGGAAAGTGAAAATAAGTCGCCGCTTCAGGATATCTCAAAAGGATTAACTGGATCGAACAAGATGATGGAACTTTTCGGAGACATTTCCAGTTCAGATTTAGAAAGTGGAAAGTCGCAAACTGAAGAATTAACAGGTTTGAAAAGACGTCCTGAGTCCGACGAGGTAAAGAACTTTTCCGGTGATATTTCCTCCGGCATTAGTAGTTTGGATGAAGCGACCAAGCCGTCGTTTTCGAACATTTCCAAGTCGCAGATAAGAGAGGAGCTATTTGGCGAAATTTCGTTCACGCTAAGTAGTTCAAAATCGGATGAAACTCGCCAACCGTCGTATCCGAACATTTCCAAGTCGCAGATAAGAGAGACTTTGTTTGGTGATATATCGTTCTCACCAAGTAGTTCGGAGTCGGATGCAACACACCAACCGTCGTTTCCGAACATTTCTAAGTCGCAGAGAAGTGCGGATCAGATTAAGGAGCTTCTTGGTGATATATCGTTCTCACTAAGTAGTTCGGAGTCGGATGAAACTACTAAAACGTCGTTTCCGAACATTTCCAAGTCGCAGATTTGTTCGGTTCAGATTAAGAGGCTGTTTGGTGATATATCGTTCTCTCTAAGTAGTTCGGAGTCGGATGAAAGTCACAAACTTCCGTCTTTGAACAAGTCGAAGATAACAGAGAAGCTATTTGGTGATATCTCACTAAGTAGGTCAGAGTCGGATGAAGCCAATAAAACGTCGTTTCCAAACAAGTCACAGAATGGTCACGATGATTTTTCGCTCTCATTAAGTAGTTCGGAGTCGGACGACGCCAATAAGTCCATTCATAGCATCATCATAGAGAAACGCAAGGAGCTTCGAGCATCAAAGGCATCTAAATCAAGACCAACGGAAGCTTTCCAATGGGACAGCCTTTCAGATGTTGAGTCAATCACGTTTGTTTCAGAACCACCATCGCCTCGCCCATACCAGCTATTCGGCAATGTGGACATCCCAATTGTAAAAGCCAAACGCAAGAGAGTTAGCTCAAAGCCGCCGGATCCGGTACTTCGCCGAGAAAGTCAACAATTTCGCCCGGATCCCGAGCAAAATAGGTTCTTGAAGAGTGCAAGGGATCGCACGTTTGGCAAATCGACTTATAGTAAAGAACGAGCAAAAAGGAGAAAGCTCGAGGATACTATGGCGGAGCAGAAGATGTTTGAAAAGTATTTAAAAAATATCAACACCGAATCGTCCGGATCTGACCATGTACCAGATTTGGAAGGAAGATGGCGGTCGAGGAGAACAAAACCTACTATTTATAGAAAGATGTGGTTCAGAAATCTTTTCCATAAATATGACTGATTAAAAGAAGTTACAACAAAAACAAGAATGTTCAAATTTCGTTTAAAAATTATTTACAAATGTACAAGTATAGTTAAAATAAACTGACAACAAAAATAGATATATTTCACGAGTCAAGTCGTTCACTATTTTTAAAAGTTTATAACGCACCCCCAGCCCCGAAACATCCGTTGTGGTCTGGATATTAAAGCTCCAGCTCTAGCTTATTATCTACCCCTGTAACCCATCCACCATTGCATTTCTATTAGGTCTTATACGGATTTCCACTTTCGTAATGTTCCCCTGCAACAGAGTAAAAAGAATATCAGTACATTGGAAAGACATATTGGAGATTTAAAGGGTTACCCGTACTCAGTCACAGCTTGGGCGACTGGAAATTAAGGGGCAGATTACAGCAGGGTTAACTGGAATAGGCCTGTTCTGTACCCATTTACAGCTTAGTCAACCGAAATACTAGGGGTGACTTATTCGTGGCATTCTCTAGTATAAACTAATGAAGTAGAAATTCCATTTTCAACTTACTTCGATTCCAAAAATCTTCATCGTAATCTAAAGACGTCACAATTCTGAAATAAAAAAGAATATCATATGAATATAGTCCTTGGCACCATTCTGCAGGTCCTTAGACAATGGCGTTTCTGTTGTGAGGGGAATGAGTAGGAGCCCGCAAGGGGACCATAGACAATGGCGTTTCTGTGATTCATTCGTTGTGAAGAGAATGAGTAGGAGCCCGGTATTGTCAAGGGGGCTCACAGGCACATCTGCCCATATGTAAAATAACTCAGAATTCATAATTGAGAAGGGGTAGGGGTCAGCCATGTTACTGAATATAGAAGAAAACTTACTGTGGCTGTATTCTCCTGGGTGGTCTGAAAGCAAATAAAATGATAAATCTATAGTGACAAACTTTTAAACGGTTAATCTAAGAAGCTCTATTCCATCCCTTTTCAATTCATTTGGTCTCTCCAGATACGAATATTTGCGTTTCCTCAGGCACTATGACAGAAGTGTCCACTCCCCCGTCCCCTCTCCCTCCCCCAGCATACAATTTTCAAATCATTCCACTCACCTACAACAGTCGCAATCACAATCACAATCCCGACAAGATTCCACAAATCCGCTACAAGCACCAGGCCTACAACATTGTCCAAAACAGGAAGCACAGACCCCAGGCTGTGCTCCTCCTCCTCCTAGCCTCCCTAGACTACCCAGACACAGCCTCAAACATAGCCATAGCAATGCCAACAGTAGAAGCAACAGCAGCAACATGAGTATTGTAAACATTGCAATGTTTTCCGGTCGTGACCAGAAGTCAAACGGAGCAGGAGTTGGTGCGACCGTCGTAGTTGTAGTAGTCGTTGTCGTCGTTTGCGTTGTCGTACTGGCTGTAGTGGTCGTAGAGGTCGTAGTCGTACCAAAGGCTAAAGCTATAGTGGACGTAGCGCTTCTGCTCGGAGTACCTGAAAAAGTCCGTAAAGCGTTAAAGATGATGCAGATTGTGCGTGCACGTTCAGTGGCATATTTAGGAGGCTGTGGCATGTAGTCATTTTAAAGAACAAACATCATGGCTTACCTTTATCTGTAGCTTGAGCTACTACAAGAGCAGTGGTGCCTGCCAAAGTATCAGGGAACTGACTAAGGTAGTGAATCTCGCCATTTTGAAAAAGCCGGAAATGGGTGGCGGCATCTGGTGGAGAGATGCTGATCAAAGAGAATTCAAGATCACCATTCGTACCTGGAAGAAACAAGATGATGTTTCTGATAAATGAAAGAAATGACACCCTTTAACCTCACCCCTCTGCATAAATCGAATCTTCGTCTGCAACTATGACACGACCACAATGCGTCATCGGTGGTATTACAATGCCTGCAACAATGGCAGGACAGAACTGTCCAAGATCTTCAACAACTATTTCCCTTCGTCCTTACCCCTACAGCATACAACGGAGAGGTGCCTTACCGAGATCCCTATCAGTGGCAGTCAAGGCCCCGATGACACCTCGAGATGTGACATATTCTATCGGTATAATGGTCATCTCGGTGGTGAAGACCGGATCGTTGTCGTTCACGTCTGCTATAGCCACGTTTATCAGGGTAGTTCCAGTCGCTCCGAGTGGATCCGTCGCAACTACTGTTAATTTAACTGAAATAGATGAATTTAGATCGAGTTTTACGTCTTAATTTCTCAATTAGTGTTGTTGTTGTGTAAAAGTTTTGTTCAATGCGAAGTTGCTCGGAAGATATATTAGGCCTGCCAACGTTCTTGAGAGACTTCAAGTGTTACTTGTTTTAAGGGAGAAAAGAAATCCATGGCCCAAAACATTCTACGTACCAGAGGTGGGAGAGCCTACAGCTTCCAGGTCGTAGTCTACAGCAAACGTTAGACGCCTGTTGTTATCCGTTAGGGCGAACTTTTCACTGAAATTTCCCGCTAAACTCAGCACGACTGCGTCATTATCTGGATCGGTAGCCCGGAAACTGACGTCACAAAATGATCCGCCGGCCTGAAAAGATAATAATCAGGCTAATTAAATTAAGACCAAACTTTCGTTCAGTTTTTTTATTATCTTTCATTTTCAATATAGCCACTTCAGGGTCTAACAACATCCCTCTTGAACGTTCGTTGACTGAAATGGCCATCGCCGGTTTGAAATGTAATCCTTGTCCATACCTGAGATTCGGACAGTTGGCAACTCTGTGCAGTCTTCTGAAAAACTGGTGGTTCGTTAACGTTTTGAACGAATATAAGCAGATGCTCTCCAGCGGAGTCCAAAAACCCATCGGAAATAACACAAGTGATGTTGTAGAAATTGTTGGTTTCAAAGTCCAAGGGAAAATCTGTGACGTTCGTCAATTTTATGGATCTTCCTGAAATGGACAAACATATTCCTTTAAATAAATATACCAAGTAGGCTACTGACGATCCGAAACGCAAAACGAGCCCCGTAATCCAAACAACATATTAGCGAAACATTGGTAGCAGCTTCAAGTATATTAATCTTCATCCTACTTCTCCGATCCTGTGTAACTTACTGGTCATCCTCTCCAACCTTTTTTCTCAGACATTAACTATCTTCCGAAGAGAAAAAAAGAAGACAATGCCCCAACACTTACTGTTGACATCGTAGACAAACTTGAAGCTTTCGTCTCTTGGGTTGACGGTGCACTTGGGTTCGATCCTGGCGGTAAATCCATCCACATCTTCGAAATTGAGCAGAGCAATTGTAGTTTCTTTCGGTGTGTCTTCTGGCAAGGTAATGTTCTGTGGTAACTCCCTTATATTTGGACGGCTGTTGAAATCTGGAACGAAGGATCTTGAATATGAGAGTGGGGTGGGGAGAGGTCGGGGTTTTAATTTGAAGAGGGGGTGGTAAAGTTATCACTGCTTATTGGATGTCTTGCCATTTTCATATTGTCTAACACATACAATCATTTTCTTCGAGAGCAAGGTTATGGACAACACATCTTCAGTAACGTCATCAGCGTCTTACCTGCTATTGTTACCTGTACAGCTTTAACGAAGCTGTCTTTCCCATCAGTGGCGTTGATGAACAGTGTCAACTGTCCATACGGAATCTGCTGGCCATTTACCGCTAGTGACAGGTCTGCCGTCCCTGAAATCCAATAATTAAGATTTTGAATATGTCAAACAAGCAAAATGCAAATGATTCCCGAAAGAGGATGTGTTCATTCGTTCGATGATGCATTATTTGTTATGCAAACGAAAATTTGGTACGTCTTAGCCTGTTACCTTCTTCGGCTAAATGGAAGCTAAGCTAAATGGAAGCTACCTTACGCTATGTTCATCTTAGACTTTTACCTTTCTAGGCTACCCCATGCTACGCTTACCTGTTATTTTGTAATCTATATTAAAGAAGGAGGCAGCGTCTTTAGGCGTGGACGACAAACTTAGAGAGAGGCTGTCCTGGTCTAACTGATCTGTCACCATGTACGTGGTTAGAATTTCGTTAATATCAGCGTCTCCGGCTACTGTTATTTCGGAGACTACAATATACAATTGATTGATAAAATGTTAAGGTTTTATATGTGGACTTCCCAACAGGGATTCCGATAGTACCTGCTTCAACCCGGAGCAGTACCCCTGCTAGTATCGGGGGGCGTTTTTAGTGGATATCTGTCAACTAGAGTCGGACCAACAAGCCGAGCAGTATTTTCTTTCTAAATCTTTGGTTTTGAAAAGCAGATATCGCTTATGAAGCCATCGATATTGGTATTTAACCGTAATATACGATAGGACAGTAACAGCTCTTACCTCCGGATATTAATGGTGGTATATTTTGAGTGACAGTTATAAACAGGGCTCTGCAGGTCGGTGGGTCGGGGGTTACCCCTTGATTAGCGCTATAGCAGCACAATCGTATTTGGTAGAACGTCTGTATCAAGGTATTTAGTGGGAAACCGCTATCCGGATCGTAAACCACACCTAATAAACAGAAATTAAATGGAGTTTTACGTCCTACTTTTCTGCACCTGTCAACGTTATGCAGTGTGCATTAAGGGAAATTTTGCTAAGTCAGTGAAAAGCCATTATTGAGGCTTCTGAAACAAGCTGTAGCTTACAGGGATTAGAATCAAATGGTAATTTACCCCCTAGGTACCCTATTTGATTGTGTGTGCCTAAAGGTAAGTGGGTGAAGGTCGAGCTCTTGTTGAAGGCCTACTTACTGTTATTGTTATTGTTATTGCCGAATAATCTTGCTCTGAATGGACCAATCAAAGGATCCGTATTGGGTTGCGGTTTCACGTGCTGGACGTAGCAGACGATGTTATTTCCAAATTCAGAAGTGTCGCCTTCTATGAGGAATTGAAAGACTTGTTTCAGCACTCGAGCGTCTTCTTGGATTGTTGCTTGAACATCATCGAGTATAAGACTTAGCTGAAAAAGAGGGAGAAGCATTTGTTCTTCTGGAACATCTTTAACCTTCTGAAGCAAGATTTAGATTCCACGGTTCTTTCATAGATTCCTGATTTCCCTTAGAGTCACTTACTGCTCTGGTGTAACTTAGATTAAGATAAGAGTAAGATACAGAGCTACGGTAGTGAAACCAAGATCTTTAGAAGCAAGATTTAGAGTCTCTGGTGAAACTTAGATCTCCTCGAGTAAGATTCAGGACTACCAGGTCTTTAGGAGCTAGATCTAGAGTTGGGGCATCTTCACGGTAGCAGGCTATTGCGACATTCGGTTTAATTAAGAGACTTGTTCTCAACTTTTGAATCTGGCTTACCGCAGCTTCGTGGAGGACAACTCTTGACACCAGAATCAGCAGTGGGAGAAAAAAGAACTTCATAACTGATCAGCTGGATTCATATTTCTTATCTTTTCTTACATGTTGCCCTTCAGTCTTCTACCTTAAACCTTCAACAAAAATCAGAAACATTTGAGGGAAGTAACCACATCCTAGATCTTAAACATGATGTGAAATTGAAAACCCAGTGGGTGAATTAACATACGAAAAGCAGACGCATGTCGGGTTCTCTCCTGAATAACAGGGTATACTAAAGTTGTGTGCTTAAACTAATCCCTCTTTGGATTATCTTTACGAGCTATTTCCACTATGTTGGAGGGATCAGTGTCTTCTTCTTCATCAACTACTTCTTCACAATTTCTCCATTTTGTGGTTTTCACTCGTCATTTGTTATTCTATCGGTTGTTTTGTCCGCCATTTTCTTATGTCTTGAACTCGTTACACCAGAGTTAATGAATACCTTGTACGACTTGGGACCCTACTTTAGAGATACTCTTTTTGGATCCGATCTCACAAACTGGTCAATATGACGACTCAAAATTTCTAACAATTATGACAAACAGAAACCTTACCTTAAATTATTTAAATCACCAAATTTTAAATATTTCTTTCAATTTTAATCAATCAACTACGACGTATGCCTATATTACTTATATATATTTATACTTTGTTGGTGGCTTTCTTTTGTGTTCCGTAGATTGTCTCCCTTTGCGCATTCACACAATTCAAAGGTATGCTTTCAACGCTAACGTTTAGCCACATTGTGATGAATAAATACGTATTTGTGTATGTCGAAGATGGTGTCTATTGAAAGACGTGAATGGAATTGTTACTTTTATACAATGTATGTCATTTGTTCTTTGTATTACTGCATATTTGTTAGTGTAGATGGTAGCCCTGGACAATTACCATACATTCAGTATAGTTAAGGCCTGCAACAATGAGCTTTATTTACGCCTCTTTTGTGAATGCCTAAACGACAACAGCGCAGGGTGACCCATGAGACACCGTCTGCTTGCTAGTGTTGGAACACTCGGGATCACGTGACTCTTGGTGCCATGACGTAGACAGGGGTGTCGTCTGCATGGAAATCGTTGGGGATGTCCTCATCAGCCTCAACTCATGGGGTGATCCTAGTGATAATATTTTCAAACCAACGAACTCTTGGCTTAAAGAAATATAAAACCCATTTCTAGCTGGAGGCTAATATTTTTTAATGCCATTTTATTTGTCAATAAACCACGCCCCTTAATGATTAATGACACTTCACTGACCATACGTCACACATTACGTCATTTATCAGTGACATCACGCCAAGACACCGATCGCCAACAAAAGGGTTAAACACATAAACGATACAATAGATGCATTAAAAAAACCAATAGAGTGCATTATCTGTTGACAATTAAAGGGTAAAGTTTATTTGTAGTCCATTAACCCTTTCAGAGCCAGTCAATAAAATTGTTTTGATATCAACGTTTGATTTCATGGTACAATTAGGTGACTTATGGCTCATGTTTTAAGTGACATTTAATCAAATTTTCAATAAAACCGAAATGTGACCATAACCCCCCCCCCCCCCCCA